CAAGTCAGAGGCTGAAGCTGACAAGCAGCTGACTTGGGGAAGCCAGAGGCAGAGCAGCTGGGGTGCTGCCGGGTTGGTCCCGCAGCGCTGCCCTCTCCCACGCTGAGCAGTTCCCCGCCGACCTCCAGCCCCACCCCAGACCCTTCCTAGCCCCCCTTCCGGTACTCCGGCATATCTGATAATCCGGCACCCCCTGAGTCCTAAAGGTGCCGGATTATCAGAAGTTTACTGTACTACGGACCAAATACAACCAAGGTCAAAGTAGGTAAAATTCCACTAATTTCTATAGAGTTATGCCTGGTATATTACAAGACAACTGAGTAATACTGTTAAATATGAACAACAAAAATTGATCTTAGGTCTAAGTCACACTATTATAACCCATTGCTCAGAGTACAAGTATGGCAGTTCATATCAAGCATTATAGAGTGACATTAGATTTATAAATTACAGTAGAGTCCCTATCATCCGACTTAAATGGGACCGACACATGGTCGGATTACCGAATATGTTGGAAGATATAGACTCTACTGTAGAGAGAACAGAACAGCTGATGCTGCTTCTGCCGGGAACCAGCAGAGCAGCATCAGCTGTTCTGTTGCTCTGTAGGAGCAGCTGCTTCCACTACTGCTGGGATGCTTCCAGGCAGGTGAGACAGAAGCAGCAGCTTCTCCGAGAGAGCAAGGGAACAACTGATGCCGCTCCTGCGGGGGACGTCCCCCGCAGGAGCAGCATCAGCTGTTCCCTTGCTTTCTAGGAGAATGTTCAGTTGTAAGCTTTTGAAAAAACAACCATAACCTTTTGTTCAAAATTAAGAACATTTCAGAGTTAAAGACAATCTTCCTTCTCTAGGTATAAGTCTGATATTCTACTATAGTAAAGAAGAGCAAAGGGTCAGATAAAACAGAGTGTCAGATTACTGGGTGTCGGTTAATCCGGACTCCACTGTTCAAGAAACCAACTAATAGAGGAGTTCAAAAGGAACTAAGATGAAACCTTTTTGAGTTAGTGAGTTGTGTTGGGCTAACCTCTATTTGAAAATAAAAAATGTTAAAAGGTGGCTAGAAGTTTTAATACACAGATCTGGGAAACATACTTAATATTTCATCACTTTATTAACTGAAACTATTTTACCCAAGCTCTTAAACTTTCAGAAAAAAAATGTCATCTTTGGGTAGAGACCAAAGATGGAAAATTTTAGTCCTCAAAGTGAATGTTCTAGAACAGGGGTTCCCAAACTTTTCGGCATCATGCCCCCTTTTTGATTTTTGAAAAACCCTCATGCTCCCCTTCCCCCCAAAATACAGCTGCTAAACTTGAGGGGGGGGGAAAAAAAAAAAAGAACTGACCCGGGCAGCAAAACTTGATGGGGGCGGGGGAGGCTGGGTCTCCTCGTGCCCCCTCCTGGAATTTCTTCGCACGCCCCCCAGTTTGGGAACCCATGTTCTAGAAGTTCCAAGTTCACAAAGGCATGAACTTAATTATACTCTGCATGATTCACGGGGCCACTATAAATACGCACACACATGCAAACTGACCTGTTTTTGATTGTTGTGGGCCAACACAGTTCTGATGGCTGTTTACATTCAGGTTCTGGAGTGCAGTAACCAAATCTGGTTTGCACATGGCCTTTACATCACTCACAAGGGCTTTGCTGCATAAATTTTTATCATCCCTATTAAAAGAGATTTACTTTTGTTTTGATTGTACTAACTTCTCAACAACACTACATTGTAAAAGCTAACGCATTAACAAAATAGTTTTCAGTAAGCCCATATAAATTTTGAAGGGCTTCACAGTAAACTACATATTGCCTGCAAAAGAAAAAAAAAAAAAGGTACCCACTGAAGAAGTAGCTATTCTAAAAAGCAACACACAAAATACGTTAAAAATATATATATATATATATATAACCACAATTTAGGCCTAACTTCAGAAAAAGAAACTGTAAAACATTGGCATCTTTTAGCTCAACAAATGAAAACCTATTTGGTAACATATTGCCAAAAACAGAAATAAAACCTAACCCATCTTCACACAGAAAATGCCACACTATTCATGTCTTTACTCTAGCCCTGCAAAGCAAGATATATTCAGAAAGAAAAGAAAAATTAAAAAAATTTGAATCAGTTTAATTTTAATCAATTTCTTTTTAAAAATAAAACTAAATACAACTAAATATAAATTTGAATTGCTAAGCAATTTTAAGATCTACACTTATTTTAATTTACTAAAATAATTTAAAATTAAACATTCAAGTAGAACATGTTTCTTTAAAATTTTAGTAGCCAAGTCAAACACCTGAACTGGTCACTAGCTAACGCACCTGGAATCAGCAAGCAGACAGTAGGTACAGAGAAAATATTTCAGGTCAATGACTAATTCATTCAAAAATATGAGAAAGCAAATGAGAATTTAAAAAAAAGCAAGAAAGATTATTTTTTATTCATATTGGCAGAGGATAACAAGGAGGGAGAAAATGAGTTCTATTAGTTCTAATATCTTGAAGACATAGTGACTAGAAACAATCAGTTCCATTAACTGTTTAGTGACAGGTTAAAGGGCGGAGCCATCCCTACCTCAGTTCCTTCTTACAAACTCAAGATCAGGACCTCTTCCTAGAGTAGGTTCACAGGATAGGCTACCCAACCAAGGATAAAGTATCTGTGACTAGAGTGTCTGATGACAGAACTGGAGTAAAAGGAACCCTGGGACATACACTCACTGAGTTTGTCAACTTGTTCTGGGAGAAGAGAACATTTGCATGTCCAGTGGATGTCAGAAGCGATGGTAAACTGACTTACATCACTTCTGCATGACCCTAAAGTGAAGTCTGGAGTGTTAGGCATACATGCAAACTGCCATATGCCCTAGAAGTGTCCTATAGCGCCTCACTGTTATACAGGTATGCACCTAGACTTCTAAGCACAGGCTGTCTATTGCTTGAAATAAATATGACCTGGAGACTGAATAAGGAACTATCCCTGCAAATTGTAATCTTGTTTGCCTAGGTGATATCTGGTTGATCTTTGTTGATTAGCAGGCCTAAAACTTTAAAGACTAGACCATCTGCACTTTTCCTTCCACCTGATTCTTGGACTGTCCATGGAGTAACTAGTTGTTTAAGTAAACATACACGGGCATATGTATATGTATACTTATAATTAATTCTACTCAAAGTGTTATGGTTAGAGGAGTGATTGTTCTTAATTCTTCCTTTATACCACAAAAGGAGCAATAGCAAGTAATTTTGTTTCTCAAAAAGCTTTTTCAATCACATCTAAAAGTGATGGTTGTGTAGTCTCCTCCCTCACACACAGGATTCAATAATCGCAGACTTGAAAACAAAACCTAAAATGCAAAATGCAACTCACGTGCACAGTATGACAAAAGCTTGAGGGAACAGACTCTGATACTGCAAGCAGCATTGTAAAACACGATCATCATTGTTTTCATCACTCAGTCCATCTGCAAAGTTAGCAAACACAATGGTGATACATTCAGAAGTGATCAGGCTTCTTGAGTCATTTCTAATACATTTATTAAGATTTATTCAAACACGATTTGATCAAGCAAAGGGGAGATGTGTCTAAGCAGAGATCTGGGATACAGAAATTCCCGAGTTCTAGTAGAAACTGCTACTTTCTCATCATGTAACTTCAGGCAAATAACTTACACTACTCTAAACAACTAGGCCAATAGTCACCAACCAGGGAAGACAGGCAATCCATACCCAATTGGAAGTATGAATTAACTCCCCAAAGCTTTTTATAAAGTGGAGACACTGGGTACAATTGACAATACTCTAGCAAACAAATTTATTGATAAAATGGTAGGAGGTGAAATACTGCTTTTGAATATGAACTACCCATGTGCTAAATCTGTTAAAAAAAACCTTCAGCTACGGATTAAAGTGTACTTAATACGTTCATACTGAAATTGTAGGTGGAAATTTGACTTCTAATAATTCAGAAAGTCACCTATTACAAAAGATGGAAAAATAGAAGGGCCTGATTATTCACTCCATTACACTAGTTTCATGCCAGCATATTCTGCTGACATCAGTTAGCAGTATAAAACTGATGTGATTCGGGACAAATCAGGCCCATAGAATCTGATTGACAACTTTCAGTGGCCAGTCAGTTTTAACAGGGAAATTGCAAAGGTAAAAGTGAAGATTATAATAAGCCTAGAAGGAGGTGCTGATGCTCATATTAGCTGAGCTGTAAGGACCATTTAACTCAGAAATCAATATAACTATTTACATAGCTTACATATTTTCTGAGAAGCAAGTTGCATTGACTGCCCCCACAGCTTTGAATCTTGGTTTTTGAGGCAAGTGTAGATAAAATCAACTGCAGGGACAGCTTTGTGCCGAACATGTTGTAGAACTTTGCCCTTCTTCAAGTTGTCCAGTTCTTGTAAAACCACCCAGGGAATTATCAGTGCAAGTCTGCCAATGCCTAGAAAACACAATTTTTTTAAACTGCCAATGGAACTACAGTAGGTTCCATTTTAATGTCAACATTGTTCCTAAGGATTATGGATATTAGCATATTTCTGCATTAGTGAACAAGAGCCATTTCATCTGTATACAGAAAGATTAAGTTTAATTTTTGTAAAGTTAGCTTCCCTAATGTTAAATTCAATATAAAAACTCTTATCTTAAAAACGAGAAAAACTTGGAAAACAACAAATAGTCTAGCAGCACCTTAAAGACTAACAAATCAGATATATGGTATCATGAGCTTTTGTGGGTACAACCCACTTCTTCAGATGAATGGAGTATTAAAAGTCCAGATCAAAAAATAAATAGGGAATGGGGGGCAGGAAGGGGGGGAAAAAACAGTGAATTAGAGTGTTCAAGGTACAAGAAGCTGATAGAGGAGGTGCAAATTGTTCTTAAGTACCCATTGTTTAGTTGGTTAAGTCATTAGGATGTGGAAGGTTGTGTGCTTCATATCTTTTTGATGGCTCCCAAACTTGTAAATGAAGCTAAGTTCCAATGCTTCCCTGTGTATTTGGCTTGTCCCCTTGTTGTTTCAGGCCAGTTCTACAAGCCAAATACACAGAAAGTGAATGACTATTTTGTCAATGCCATATGCGTTGTCCCCATTTTTTATCCCTGGCACATACATTACAAACAAATACATCACATACATTACTTATAGCCTAATGGGGCTATGTTTCCAATTAGTTTGTCTTATAAATTGGAGCTTATTTGCTCAAACTTCAGAAGCACACTGATGGACTTCACTTGTGCCTGCCAACACATTGGTAGCTGTGGTCTTCGACATCTATGGAAGTGATGAATTTTGTGCTCCCACAAGGAATAGAATTCCAACGCCAATAAACTTTCTCCCACATAGAAAAATGAGGGATGAAACCTATCTGAGGAACACACACCGCTTCCCCATCAACCTGTGCGCATCTGCTGGGAGGAGCCAGCAGCAGAGAGCAGAACACTGAAGGAAAGGAATAGAGGGAAGAAGGCCTAGACATACATGTGTGCTTCTGTCCGTGGAAAGATATCAAGAGGGTAGGGCTGGGCGCATGTCTGCAAGAGAGACTCCTCTCACTCACTGTTTCTGCATCACCAGCGTGGAGGTGTAGGGCTATGTGAAGAAGGCTCTGTCCCTGGCAGAGCAGAAATGTAACAACTAAGCAGGCAAGCTGCTAATATTCCCATTGTCAGTTAACTGTCCTCATTCTTAGTCATTTAAGTCTCCTTTATCTTGTCAGAATGGTGTAAAGGAACCTTATTTTAAATGACAAAAACTGACTCTTCAGCTAGGAAGGACTATGAATTTTCTAGCTTTCTTTCCGGGTGCCCAAGAGATACAATGGGATCAGATCACAGCTCAAGAACTATTTTACTTAGCCATTTAAAAAACAAAGCAGGACAACAATTAGCAAAACTATAAGTGTGAAGGTCTGAGCAATTAAAAGCAACATTCTACTTTACAGAACATCAAACATCAAAATAAAAGGTGTTAATTTAAATGAAAAACTGGAAAGCAGGGTATTGGGTATTATTATGTATTTGTAACTTAACTTTCATGTGTTGAAGAAATGCTGAATGTTTGTTGTGATTTTTTTTTCTATGTACAGTAGTTTAAATAAGTTACCAAAATAGAAGAAAATGGCTTGATGATATTGCATTATTTTTACAAATAAAATATGAACAATTTTGGATTTTTTAGCACATGGTTTTGACTTGTTGGTACAGAATTTCCCTGGGAGTACTTAGTCCCTCTTGCAGTACAGAACTAGAATTCAGTAACATACTAGATGCAGCACTAAGTGACTGGAAGTAAGTAATTGGAAGTCATAATTTTAAATGTATTATTTCCAACTCTGTTATTAACTCAGACCTCAATTTTTTTCTCACAAACTTTTTTATGCCTGGATAATACTTACCTTACATATGGGATAATTTGTTCCTATGACCTCAGCTGCATTTAAATAAAGTGCTCTGAGATCCTTGTATTAATGTGCAAAAGAAGTGTAAGGTACTTACTGTTTAATAATGGATCAAACACTTCAGTCCCTACTCTGCCCTTACCTCAGGTAAAAAACAAAACACAGACCAAAAAAAAAAAACCCTATTCAACTTCCTAAAGCATCTAGTATCAGATAAAACCACACCTACTGGTTTTAGAAGTCAAGTGTTTCTAAAACTTTTATACATGCAGAAGATAATAGGCACAGTTGTCAAATGTCAGTTTCTTTAAAAGGAAGCCTACACTCTGCATTTGGACTCTCGCAAACAGGCATTTACATGTGAAAAATCTAAGTGTCCAACTGTGGGATTTGGATAGCTTGTGTTTGAGAGTTTGCCTCAATATGTATGAAGTCATGACATTATCTTTTCATTATATAAGTTCCAGTACAGTATGATAAGCGTTGGCCCCACAGCGAATACCCCGTAGCCTGAAGAGCTTACCACACAAACACGAACCCATTGACTGATTTTACAGCCCCTAAAGAAGAGGGACATTCACATACCTGGCACATCTCTAGTTTTCAAAGTCATGATAAATTGAAGGTGACTAATCATTATGTTGGTGTCAATCACTATCAAGAGGTTCAAACCAGAAATGGCAGTTGCTGTAGAAAAGAACACATAGCAAATAATTCTTTTGCATTCCTTAGTTAGGTCACTTATAACTTAACGTTGTCAGTGTGGAAGCAAATATCAAGGAACCTCCGGACAGCTTGACAGATGACATACCAGCAGCAATGTCTGTATTCTCTTCTGGAAGGTCTATTTCCATACTTGTCAATTCTCCACAAGTCTGCACAACTGGCAAAGCCATCTTTTTGTCAATACGAGCAGCATGCAAGTCTTCTATTATTTGCATCTATTGTTAAAACATTAATATAAATACATAAAATAAGAAGTGGGTAGTCTCCTTAAAATCTGTCTCGTGGAAACAAGCATCTTTGGTATCACAACTGCTGTTTTAATACAGTTCTTTATATTAGTCTATTTTTAACTGGTGTAACAAATTGAAGAGTACGACAACATGCAGTGTACGCTCGAGCATGTATGTCCTAAAGTTCCATTTTTTGACCACATTTCTATCCAATAGTTAATAGTCTTGATCTGTTCCCTACTACATAGGCTGAAAGTGCTTTGCTAACAGCAGTTCTTTAGCAACACTGTTATATTTCAGTGGTTCTGTACCAGAAGTACATAGAATTTTTCCCGGGGGATGATCTCATCTTGATATTTGCCCAGTTTTACAACAGACTACATAAAAAGCATCAGCCACATCAATATAAACTAAATTTCATGCAATAACTTGTGTATATTTTTGAATATACTGTACTCTACACTGAAATTCAAGCATATTACAAATTATTTATTTTATGCTCATATGGTAAAAATGAGAAAATAAGCAATTTTTCAGTAATTGTATTCCATGACACTTTTGTATCTTTATGTCTCATTTTGTAAGCAAGTAGTTTTAAGAGGTGAAACATGGAGGTACTCAAGATCAATCAGACTCCCGAAATGGGTACCGAAGTCTAGAAAGGTTGAGAGCCACCACTTTACTTCTTTACTAAACAAAAGTAAAGGAAGGCTGGAAAGTAAAATTGGTGGTATTTGCATCCAAATATTCTGGCCCCTCTTTTCATTGTGGAAGTGAGAGGTCTAAAACTAAGCTGTACAATGTACATTGGTTTCAGAAAGCCTTTGACGGGTACAACAAACTGGATTTTTTTTAAACACTTAGAGATACTGGGATCAGTAGGAATGAATATGCCATAGGAATAGGGCACAATGTTAAGGGAACATGTGGAAGTATGTGACCCCCAATGTCACAGTTTGAAGATAGTTGTTTTAAATCACTAACCTCTTGGTCTGTTTCTGTAATCTGAATGGCTTGATGGCAGGCAGAAGGCCATTGGACTTCAAAGCTCTATTGAGAGATAATGCTAGAAGTAAGACATTTACAAGATTTCAAGCACTTGCTACTCAATGACAAACTCTAAAATTACACAAGTTCTCTTTGTGACCTGACAAAATAAACTGTTATATCTAAATACTACCTTTGCTGTAGTATTATTAAAAAAAAAAAGAGTTAAGAATGTGGCGTGTATATAAGAACAGAGAACATATTTAAAATTAGAACAGTCATAATAATACAAAAATATAAGTTTATATTAAAAAAGTAGGCAAGACAACCTATATACATGAAGTTGGGATCAACAAGTTCATCTTAGTTGTGGCCAAACTTAAATCTACATCTTCACTGTAACCTAGAAACCACCATAACACATAAAACATTTGTCCACTAAATTGTCCAAGATCTTATTACTTTACCTGTCTTAAATGTAATGATATGGTTTCAAGAGTTCTTCCTTCAGTTATTGAACTACTAACAGCTTTGCTGGAACCAGGATACTGTTTCGTCTCTCTGAGATATTCCCATTCCTTAGATATTACAGTGGACATAGGTTTAGTATCATGGATATTTTTGTCAGACAGTTCTTCAGAGTTTTCTAGATGTTCTTTCTTCTTACAAATCTTTGATAATGTGTGAGATGTATTAGTAGGGAAGGTGCCATCTCCCTCAGTCTTTGGAAAGGTGGCTGAGGGCTTTTTCAGAATTTTGAAATCATCACTCAACTTTTTTGATCCACGCAAGTTCTTACATAACAAGCCTGTAGGATAGGTTGCTACCTTGAATGTCTTCAACATAGTTTGTTCAACTCTTTCCTTTAGTTTGCTGAGCTCAGTTATCTCTTTCTTCTTTTTCCTCAGCTTGTCTTTCTGAATTGCAAAACTATGCCGCACCATTTCCCCTCCTGTTCCATTGCCCTCAAAAGAGTGGTCTTTTTTACAGATTTGCCTGCTAGTAGGGACATCACCAGAATCACTTTGGCTTTTCTGTCTTCCATGTTTAATATCATGTTTAAAATGTATAGATATCCTTTTTCGCTTCTCTGTTTGAAGCAAAACAGCACTGATGGCTCTGCTATCATGTGAAGACTCTCCTTGGAACCTTTCAATAGTGCCTTGTGAAACATAAAAGCCTTGCTTTTGTTTCTTCTCTTGACCATCTTTATCTACTTTGGATCTGCAGAAATGTTATAGAAGAATGGAAGTTACATTATTAAAAAAAAGTGGTACAATATAGCTAAGTGTGACCAAAGCCAGCAAACAAAAATAAGTCTGTACTGACTGTTAGTGTATTTCTTTGCCCAACTAGTTACTGCTAAGTATTTGAGCGTTCTTATTTGGAATTTCATTAATTTACTCTTCATTCATGACAACCTCAATCATTTAGAAGAGCTTTTTTGGGGAAGGAAGTATTTTTGTTGGACATACTTTGCTCTCCTTATTTTAATTCTTGCATAATTTTCTTAATTTGCTAAATGTTGACAATAGAAGCAATAGTTAGATCATGGTTTACACTCTAGCAGCCTGGGGTCCCTTTCCCTGTTTACAATTGAACAGTGACCTCAGCATTGTTAAGACCCTATTCAGTCTTGTAGCATAGGCAAAACTGAACAGCATTTTAACAATATTTCTGAGCTGAGCTTGCTAAAATCCAAGGACTTAGCTCTCTCTGCACTGGATTGGGGAAGGAGGGAGCACTGTAACAAGGTAGTGCTTCTAGATTAGAGGAGACCCAAGTCTAGCTATTGCATGTACTGCAGTTTCGGTCCTGAATGGAGACAAAAATGTCTGTGGAAGATTTTTTTCTATTACAAACTATACCATGCAACATTAGAAGTGTGTAATAGTGTTTAAATCATTTGAAAGGATTTTCAATGTTTATGCCCATAAAACTTTTTGCATCTGTGTTCAACACACTTATAAAAAAAATAGTGATAGAAATGTAGCCGTGTTAGTCTGGTGTGCGAAAGCTCATCACCTAATAAACCATCTTATTAGTCTTTAAAGTGCTACATAGTCCTGTTTTTTGTTTCTTATAAAAAAGAGAGTATTCACCATTCATGCTTCAATCATGCTAAAGGTACCTAAAGGCAAAATTTTATTTAGCACAAAATGGGGGGAAAAAAAGATACCCTATCTGCAAATGAGCCACCAGATGATTGTAGTTCAACATAATTTAAAAAAAATCAAATATGATTCAACCAGAGATAAACAAAACCCCTGAAATGTAGTCAACAGAAATAGACTTACTAGTTATGAGAATAAACATTTAGCCAATAACTGAGAAATTCACTTAACATATGAATTCACAAATCAGTCAAAGAGCACATTTGCCATTACACAACTTGAAGAGATTTCTCTGTGCCCATAACCTTAACATTACTTGAAGTATCATGTTATGACAACTGGATTGGTTTGGGAGCTATCCAGAGCCAATAGAAATGGAAAAAGAAAGATTATTTAAGGGGAAGTTCTCTAGGTTACACTATGGCCCTCTACAGTACATTTTGCTTTTTTGTCCCATGCCCTATACTTCTGCTGATGCCCACAGAACATGCATGTAGAACATGCAACACAACCACATTCCTATTACAAGACTCCCGGTCCAGAATGAGGACGAAAACACTCCCTGGGCTTTAGGGAGCAACAGAAGGGCGCCATTCCTCCTTTTTTTACTACAATATAGCACAAATTGACAGCTAATTAAAAAGAGAGAGCTTGATCTTAAGGATGTCATCTCAATTGCCATCACAACCTGAATAGCTTGGGCAGAATCCATTCATGAATACAAATGGAAATATTTTATCCACTAAGGTGGCTAAATTCTTCATCGCTGCACAAGTGAAAAACCCCAATATTTTTATTTTAACTAAAAAAAACCTAAGCACTGTCCTGTTGTTTCAAAAATGGCAATGTTTAGTGACAAACCAAGCATTTACCTTTTAAATTCCAGCTGCCCTTTTATGTTATCATTACCGATTCCTGTGTCTTCTGATTTCTGAAAAAGAAAAAGTCAACAGGAACAACTAACTCACAATAAAAAAAATTATTACTATGGCCTATCACCAGCTGCATTCAAACTGTGACTAGCTAAAGCCTAAAACAAACTGGTCATCTGCCCCATTACAATGCATCGCTTCACTATATTCAGTTAAGTTTTAAGAAAACACAAGTGAACAACAGCATACAAGCAGACCTGGATCACAGAAGAGAAAAAAACTGGTTACAGATATTCACACTATATGCATGAGTCCTGAGTGCGTACAAAATTTGCACCCAAATCTGTCTCCACAAGAATGAGCTGTGGATATCCACACTGACATTGGCGGATGTAGATACCCACGGATATAATACAGATATCCGCAAATTGGCAGGGCTCTACCTATAGTCTACAAAAAAACTAGTAGATAAAAAAAGAACATAGCTCCCAAATTGCTTTCTAGCTGCTTCTATCTAGTCTAGATGAGTTTTTACACTCTTAGGTGCTAATATGATTGTGGCCAAGCATGCATTAGAAAGTATTTTTTTAAAATGAGTTTAAATAGTTTCTTGAAATGGGTAAAAGTTCTGAAGTCTTTTCTACATCAGTGTTTCTCAAAGTGTTCTTCTACACTGAGGAAGTTTTCCCAAGAACTCAACACCATTGTTAATTCCAATTCAGCTCAACTAGCAACAACATCGGAAGCCCTAATTCAACAGGCTGCCAGACACTACTGGAATTCTAAGTAGTGTGTCATGTATCATAGAATCATAGAAGTGGAAGAGACCACAGGAGGTCATCAAGTCCAGCTCCCATCCCAAGGCAGGACCAATCCCAATTAAATCAACCCAGCCAAGGCTTTGTCAAGCCGAGACTTAAAAACCTCTAAGGATGGAGATTCCACCACCTCCCTAGGAAACCCATTCTCCTCATAGTGAAATAGTTTTTCCTAATATCCAACCTAGACCTCCCCCACTGTAACTTGAGACCATTGCTCTTTGTTTTGCCATCCGTCACTACTGTGAGAAGCCTTTCTCCATCCTCTTTGGAACCTCCCTTCAAGAAGTTGAAGGCTGCTATCAAATCCCCTCTCACTCTTCTCTTCTGCAGACTAAACAAACCCAAATCCCTCAGTCTCTCCTTATAGGTCATGCGCTCTAGCCCCCTAATAATTTTGGTCGCCCTCCGCTGGACCCTCTCCAATGCATCCACATCCCTTCTATAATGGGGGGGCCCCAGAACTGGGCACAATACTCCAGATGTGGCCTCACCAAAACCAAATAAAGGGAAATAATCACTTCTCTAGATCTGCTGGGACTGCTCTTCCTAACGCACCCTAATATGCCATTAGCCCTCTTGGCTACAAGGGCACACTGTTGACTCATATCTAGCTTCTCATCCACTGTAATCCTCAGGTCCTTTTCTGCAGAACTACTACTTAGCCATTTGGTCCCCAGCCTGTAACAATATTTGGGATTCTTCCATCCCAAGTGAGGACTCCGCACTCGTCCTTGTTGAACCTCATCAGATTTCTTGTGGCCCAATCCTCCAATTTGTCTAAGTCACTCTGGACCCTATCTCTGCCCTCAAGCGTATCTACCTCTCCCCCTAGCTTAGTGTCATCTGCAAACTTGCTGAGGGTGCAATCTATCACCTGATCCAGGTCATTAATAAAGATATGAAACTTTTGCTCAAACAAGGTTTATTCACAGTATTATGTCTTAAAGTGGTGATTGCAATCAGTACCACTTCCAGACCAGGGCTTTAAACACTGATAACTTCAATGAGGCTGAATAGGTTAGCAACAGCAGAAGAGAGTCCCTATTGTGGAGGCCTTGTACAAACAGAGAATCAGACCTGGGCCCTAAACACAATTATTAGGTCAACGTACTGTATATTCTTTTGTAGACCTGGCTACCACCTCTTAGATCAGCTGTTCCCAACTGTCGGTCTGTGGACCAGCACACCACTGGCTGCTGGGCCACAGCGGCTGTCAGAATTCAAGCTGGCTATGCATGGCAGCTCAGCTCTGGCAGCCATGGTGACTGAGGCAGTGGAGCAATAGGCAGAGCAGGAGGTGCCTCGCCCTCTCCTCCTTCTTTCACACTTAGGGAGATGAACTTGGGGAGGTAGAGGGCATGGAGGAGAAGAGAGCGTGTACACCGCCAATGGCCGCTCCCCCTGCCTGCGCAGCCACTTCTGCCGGTGGCAGCGCTGGAGCTGAGGCAGTGGCAGGAGGAGGCAAAGCAGGAGGTGCCGCCCTCCCGCCTCAGTAATGGTGGCTGGATGGGGCTTTGTGCCTCCCCCCTACCCATAGGGGCCCAAGACACACTTGGAGGGGGAGGGGAGGTGGAGGGAGGAGGCACAGAGGAGGGCCGCTCCCTCTGCCTGCACAGCAGTAACAACCATGCTCCCTAAAGGGGGGCAGCCTCACTATGGGGAGTGCAGAAGTTGAGTCAAAAGGGTGTTGGGTGAGGGTGTGGTGGGGTGAGGGGACAAGGGGTGTTGGCACAGGCTGTTGAGGTGGGTGTTAGGCACGGAGGAGCAATGGGCTGGGGCTAGGCAGATGGTAAAATTTTATCTGCATATCCATTATTTGCATAATCAATATGCAAATAAAATGTTACCAGTTCACCAAAAGTTTGTGAATGGGTTTGCTGGTCCACGGCATAAAAAAGATTGGGAACCACCGTCTTAGATTTCCTACGGCAACGGAAAAATCCCTTCTGCCACAGTAATAGGAGTCCACACTATTGTAGGCCTGTCACACAGTAGTAGTTAAATAGGCTTGATTTTTAGCTTTGTTTCATGCAGTTATATAGATTTTGTTTCATAAGCTTTGTTTTATAGCAACTACTTGATATTAAACTATATTTTGTATTAAGTAATATAAGTTAGTAAGAAATTGTTTAATTTTTTTTTTTAACTTTGTAAGTCTGTAAGAAATCCTGCTGTTCTTTTGTAAGAGAAATTGCTTTCTTTGATATGAACTGGCCTCTGTGTTTTCTAGTCCTTTAATAATTCTCGTGGCTTTTCTCTGAACCTTCTCTTCCAATTTATCAGTGTCCTTTTTAAACCATGTGCTCCAACTGGGCAAAGTATTCTAGCAGTGGTCATGCCAGTGCCAAATATAGACGTAAAATAACTTCTCTACTCTTACTCAGGATTCCCCTGTTTATGCAACCCCCGATCACATTAGCTCTTTTGGTTGCAGTACTATAGTACGTCCTCACATTCATGTAACTATTAATCATAAGCCCCAAATCTTTTGCCAGGGGCACAGCGTGGGAAGAGAGAGCCCCTCATTCTATAAGTATCACCTACATTCTTTTTTCCTACATGTATGCATTTATGGTTAGCTGTATATAAAACCCCCACCATGTATTGTTTGCTTCAGTGTCGTCCTTAGGCTTTATTGGGCCCTACGTGGGGTTATTAAACTGGTGACCCACTGATCTCAGTGTGGCGGGGGCACAGTCCCTGCACAAAACTTACTTGGAGGCCAGGTTGCTTCACACCAGTCTGTCCACTCGCCCACCCCACATTCAGAGCCCCTCATATGAGCCACCAGAGTTTGAATTCAATTTTAGTATGAAATTGAGGTAAATTTTAAAACATCTTACAAATAAAAAAAAAAGGAAAAACTTTAATACATTTTATTTACACTGTCAATCACCCCCAAAACTGGGCCCATTCCTCAATCCTCCCTAGATCAATGGTGCTAGTAGTGGGAAAAACAGGGCAGGAGGGACTGGGCCTCCAGTTACTCGATGGGGTACAGGCCTGTCCACAGAGTGCTAGTTCTTCCTCCTCCAAGCCTGGCCCAGGATCTCCCCCCTCCCCAACCCTGGAGTCCCTGGCCTCTGCAAATCAAATATTGGCAGGGCTAGGGTGGGCACACACGGCTGGGGGAACTGCACATGCAAAAACCTCCATCATGACTGTCCCAGGCCTGGCAGGAGCCTCCTCCCCTCCCCGAGAGTGCAGGGAGCAGGTGGGAGCCATGCCACGGGGTAGCCCAAATGACCACAGCACATGGCCACTGAGAGCATGGGTGAAGGAGAGGAAGGCTCACCACGAAATGGTACAAGCCTCTGAGGGAGGGAGGGGAGAGCGGAGCTGCTAACACTTAGGCTGCCTGGGCTTCTCTCTTCTCCCCCTCACTGGAGAGAAGCAAGTGGGGAAGGAGGAAGGGACAGGGAGAACCCACCAGATGAGAACAGTGCTTTACATACACAACTGCATAGAGGCACTTGAAAATTTAGTGCCCCAAATTTTCCAGTATCTAACAGAACTGCATGTATCGAGTATGCCTAGGAATGGCCTTGTTTTGCTTCCTCCACTTTAAACAAGCCCGTATACTCTGAATCAACGAGTTGTTCTTTTCATTATTTACCATTAATTTGTGTGCTGCCTACAAGCTTTCATTGATGACTTTATTATTATTATTTATTAGTGACTTGGAAGAAAATAATGTGAAATAGCACAAGACCAAGAACCAATCCCTGTGGTACACTACTGGAAACACAACTTTTGCATGAAGGCCTCATGTTCTTTCTTGATATTGTCCAGGTTATGAATAGCAAATGTGTGGCGGTGAAGACAGACAACCTTGACTAAGTGACAATGTTCCCTATAAGATGTACACTTGTGCAACTGCTCAGGAGAGATTCAAATGCCACTCAGCTGATTTGCAGAGCGCCCACAGCTAAGTTTTTAGTTTCTACTGGTGATGCACATTCACACATGCCTCAGTGCACGTTGAAATGTATTCCACACATGAGTGAAAAACATTAAGGAACCTTACTGAGGGCTCATCCCTTAGCTATTTGGGCCCACAGATGTTCAAAATCACCAAGGAAAATAATTTTACTCCAATTAATTCTTGGGCTGACTTTTGCTACTGAATTTTCCAGGGTTCTAAGTACTGCAATTTGTGCTGAGTCACAAGGAAAGGTCTTATCAAAGTGTATGTCTAAACTGCACTTAGTTAGGCCTGGTTCAGGTTGAACATAATT